GCAGCAGATGCAACAGTTTTTAATTTTGATTGATAGACCTGACGATGATGGAGTGAACATCGAAACATGTCGTCATTTTAAAATGTAACAATATCAAATGTTGAAATGTTATAATTTTATGTGATTTTAACAATCTATAAGCTTGTGTAAAGACGGTGAATAAAATTATTGTATTGAAGAACACAAGCATGACGCAATTAAGATATAAGTTATTAAATTGTGTTTAAACGAAACTATACAGTAAAGTCCATACATGTAAAAATTCGTCTGACACGTTTCCTATTAAAAATGGTCTAAAACAAAGACATGCTTTATTGCCATTGCTCTTCAACTTTGCTTTAGAATATGCAATTAGGAAGGTCGAAGAAAACGAGGTGGGACTGAAAGTGAATGGGACATAAAGAAAATTACAGAAGCTCTGGTTGATGCTAGTAAGGACATTGGTCTAGAAGTAAACACAAAGAAAACTAAGTGTACACCAGACTGCAATATCATAGTATAAAGAGAGCTGATGGATCCTTTGAAAATGTGGCAAACTTCAGATATTTGGGAGCTACAGTAACAAATCAGAATTTCATTCATGAGGAAATTACGAGCAGATGAAATTCAGGTAATGCTTGCTACCACTCACTTCAGAAAATTTTGTCTTTCCATCTGCTGTATAAAAACGTAAGGTTGATCTTTTAACACTAAGGGAGGATTGTCGATTGAGGGTGTTTGAGAACAGGGTGCTGAGGAGAATATTTGAACCTAAAGGCCGGAGAAAGTTGCGTAATGAGGAGGTTCATAAGTTGACCTCCTCGCCAGATATAATTAGACTGATCGAGTCAAGGAGGATGAGATGGGCAGGGCATGTAGCCTGCATGGGGGAGAAGGGGAATTCATACAGGGTTTTGGTGGGCAAACCAGAAGGAAAGAGACCACTAGGAAGACTTACACATAGGTGGGAGGATAATATTAAAATGGATTTTATAAAAATAGGATGGGGTGGTATGGACTGGATATATCTGGCTCGGGATAGGGACCAGTGGTGGGCTCTTGTGAACACGGTAATGAACCACAAATGTTGGGAACTTCTTGAGTGACTGTTGACTTCTCAGGAAGGACTCAGCTCCATGGAGTAAGTAAGTAAGTGATTTCAGCATTAATGGGCAAGTGTCAGATGGTGGTAGTCTAGAATATAGAAGATTCTGTGAAGGATCCAAGAAACATACACAATGAATACAACTGTGAATTCGACAATACAACAATACTGTGGAATCCTAAGAACAATAATCAGTCATTTGCTGTGACTTCCTTTTTACAAAGTTCATCAAATATTTTCATCTTGGTTCATTCTGTGTTCCAAACAAACCATGCAACCTGTGAAACTTCAGTCTAATGACACAGGGTCACGTCTCTTACTCATGGAATATATTAATTTTTATATTGTTGCTAACACTGAGTGCAGCAGCCTGGTCAGCTTCAAGTGACATGAGCCAGCTTGTGCATGCATCTCATCGGAAGACGTTCTTTGATTCTCTCAAAATGAACAGAGAGACTGGGAACATTCTCTACTGAGCCAGACCCTTCTACAGCCACCATGACCTCTGTACAAACAGAGCAAGTTTGGTCAGTCAGTTGTCCAAAAGCCCAATTTGAGTTGAGAGTTAAATGAGTGACATGGAAGGAGAGTGCAGTGACCAGCTGTGATGAAGAGAACAGAATCGGAGGTTGCACTCCGACTTGAGTGTGGTTGTGACTAATAAACTAAGAGAACTGCAAGAAAGAAAATAATTAATTTCAATAATAGTGAGTGTAATAAATCCAAATTTCAAGAACAAAGAACCCACAGGCTGATTGCTGATAATCGCTCCACAGTTCAGCAGTAAACATTCTTCATGAGGATACAACTTTATTAAAGTACTATTACATGTTAACTATGCATAATAAAGTATGGAAGGAAAGGAATTTAAACAGTAAATGTTTACAATTAGAATTGGAAATGTTATTTATTACTGTGTAAGACTTGAGGTTCTCACAGCGGTGAGTATGAAGATATCCGTCTTCTGGGTTATTGCGCTGTGTAGTCTGGACTGTTAATTAAGAAGTGTAATTGAATTTGAAATAATTTTATTCATGATTATGACAGTTTTATTTGAGCATAGGTGAATTTGCTTGTACTCACACATTAAGTTCCTCTCATTGAATCATATGTTTGGAATGTTCTGTTTTTGGGATATATTTTGGTGGAGGAATGAGGCTGTCATCAGTTGCATTAACCTGCAAATATTAAAGTTCATATCAGATAAGTTCTTGTTTGTTGACAACTAATATGACTTATTAGTAAGGTTGGAGGTTCTCACAGCAGCAAGTGTGAAGATGGCTGTCGTCTGGGTTGTGGCGCGGTGTAGTCTGGTAGAAGTTTATATCAAATACAGTTTTCTTAGCTGCATTGGTCTATTCCATGCATTATTGAACATACCTTTTTCTTCTCCCACGTAATGAAATAAATACTGGTTGGGATCGTGTTACAGTTCTGGCAACTCTGTGCAAGACTTGTGGAAACACCAGACAACTTTTGTCACGTTAGTGTAATATCGACTGAAGTCATTTTGAGCAGCAATTGCATATAATTATCCTAGGTATTTTTGTGCAGTTTTGTCTTTCTAGTTGACAAATTATGTGATGCAAATCCTCAGCTAAAACTCAGGAAGCTGTCTCTACATTAACAGCTTCTTACTTTGTGATTCAATTTCCCATTTTGCTTTGGTTATACTGCACTAGCATTAACATATTTGATTAACCCACTATACGTTGCTTTGTCAAATAACAACAGTTCCATTTATTTATTGGGCTTAGCCCAACGCAGAACCTGCATGTCAGGAAGATTATGAATAGGATGATAAGACAAGGGTGTAAAACATACAATAATCCATATCCTTAGCAAAATTTAACCCACAACCCCAGAATTTGTTTTGTATAAGACTGTACATGTCTTCATAGCTGAAGTTCTTTTTAGTACAAGCAATCTTTAATTTTGATCACTTCTGCATGTGTATATGGAATCATTTGTGTATGAATATGTGGTCTGGTGGTCTGTTAATAATGTAATTGTGTTGCCTACATTTATAGCTTATCACAAGACAATCATCTGTATCTGATCTAATGTATAATCACAGGGCATGGCACAAATACTTGTCAGTCAAGTGTAAAGAAGAATTGCTTCCTCTCTGTGAAATGTAGAGTAATATGTAAATCACCGCCATCTCAGCTACTTATGGTTACATTTTGGACTAATAAAATGTTAATCTTATTAATAGCTATTGCAAAGTTACAAATATATAATTTTACATTTTATATAGGTGTGAAATGTGGATCATTTCTCGAAGGGAATAACATAGAATGGATGTTTGAGAACGGTGTTGATGAAAACATTTGGACCAGGAAATAACAGGAGACTGGAGGAAAGTACATTATGAAGAGGTTTGCAGTTTGTATAACCCACACCAACATTATTAGAGTAATTAAATCAAATTGGGATGAAATGGATGTGCCATGAAATGTGTATTCATGGTGAAGATGAAAATGCATACAAGAGTTTAGTCAGAAAGTATGAAGTGAAAATACCACTTGGGAGGTACAGATGTAGATGGAAGGATAATATTAAGCTTGATATTAATTAAATAGGGTGTTCAAATACAGCCTAGATTCAACTGACACAGGATAGAGTCCAGTGGCAGACTCATATATATGGCAATGAAACATAAGGTTCTGTTAAAGGCAGGCAGTTTCTTGACTAACTGAGAGACTATTAGCTTCTGAAGAAGGACTGTGCTTATGAAGTTAATTAGGTATTGCAAAATTGTATTGTATTTCTGCTTCATCAAACTAAATGTTATATAATGTACTGCTAATGTTTTAAAGACTATGGACATGCACAGGATACTGAATTTGATTGTTTCTGTAAATATTATAATTGAGAATCTATATGCCAAACCCGGGCACTTCGATGGTAACTTACAGAATTTGACCTAGCCTTGTAATAGTTGAGTGATAAAAATATTGCCCAGTTCTTACCATAAGGTGATTGATATAGTACTCATATGGAATGTTTCCTGTTTCTCCATCGATCACAACAGCCATCATCTCATCCAGTTCTTCCTGAGTGAATGGCTCTCCTTCCTCGATCATAATTTTGCTGAGAAACTCTTTGGTTAAGTACCCCTTCCCATCATGGTCAAGTGTTAGGAAAGCTTTCAGGAGCTTTTCTGGTGATGCAGGTAGTAATCTGTAAAAGAAAGCCACATGTTAGAATTCTCACCAATGTGTTTAAAAGAATCTGCCGTTGTGAACGTAATGTGTCAGGTGTGATAATATGTAAAGATGTATGAAGTCAATGAATGTGCAATATGTTATGCATGATTGTTGCTTCTTAGTTGTATACTGTCCACTCAACAAATATGATCCATTGCTTTCATGATAAAGTTGATCTGTTAAAATCCCGTCATGCTAAAGCAAGAACTTGTGATATAATTTTAGGTATGTTTTAGCTATATATTTTTCCTGTTTCTGTGTTTGGTCAGGTAAACGTGTTATGGCAGCGCTTGAGAAACAAATGATGCAGTGTTGTAACTTTGAGATGTAGTGTGGTGTTGAGCATTCCATTGCTTGTTGGGTACTGGAAGTAATTCTTGGGTAATTTTATGAATGTTTAATCATTTTCTTATGGTTAGAAGTGCATAGATTAATGTATTAGTTGTGATAAAAATGCTGTGCTGTGTTGGCTGTTTGTACTGCAGAAACTTGACATGAGATTATACACCCAACCAATGTAGTTATGTCTTCAGATTTTGTAAAATCTCATTCTTTTTAAAGCTTGTTGCTTCATGGAGAGTCTTTGTCATATGATTTATGTTGTTCTGGTGACTTACATTGTGGCCATTTTCATTGGTTATGTGAGTAGTCCCTCAATACTAATTCAGTGGGCTCATATCTATATAAGTAGTTTGTAAGTGGGATTTTGGTAATGTTAATGTTGTTTCACTCGATTATATACCATTGGGACATAATTCTGTACAACTGGTAGGACAGGCTACTGTGGGAATTATGTTACTTTTTTTTTCGTCGTCTATGGTCAGCTTGCCCATCGTGACCCCTTTCAGGGTTTTCTTGCGAAAGTACCATGGTGAATGATGTTACTGGGAACATACTAATATATATATTGCTTGGGGGGGGGGGGGGGGGG